CGCCGAAGCGAGAGCGACACTTCGCCCTTGCGCGCGGGGTGTGCGCCGCGTCCCACTGCTGCCACGCAATTCGCGACGTGGACCACAGGACGTCCATGTTGAGAGGAAAAAAAAACGTCGATGTTGTATATTTTTTGCAGGCTAGGATGGAGCCCCGCGGATTGGCCCCCAATCGGCCGGGGGGGGGACAGAGTGGGAGTATATACAAATGAGGAATAAGGATAAAGAGTAGGAGGAGGAGGAGGAGGAGGAGAAAATGGAGGGGAGAGAGAGAGAGAGAGAGAGAGAGAGAGAGAGAGAGAGAGAGAGAGAGAGAGAGAGAGAAGCAGAGGGAGGAGAGGGAAGAGGAAATACCCCCACCCAGCCTCGATGCTCTTGCCCCTCTCCCCGCTGCCCCTTCTTTCCCCCCGCCTCCTCTGCATCCTCTCGAGCTCTCCCCAGGCTCTCTCCCCCCCTTCCCCCCTCCCCCCTCCACGTCTTCACACCCCGCCGTGTTCCGCGCTCCCCCTCTGCTCCTATCCCCGTCCATCTGCCCCCCTCCCCCCAAGACGAATCGAATAATCGAACTAACACAGATCGAACATCTATGATAACTAGAACCACGCGCGCGCTTCGCGCGCGCTTAGGTTCTGTCGAGTCACAGACCCAGGAATCGTTGCGAGAAGAAATTGGTGACGCGAAGCGTCTTGGGGGCGTCCTTGGGGCCTCTTGGGGGTCTCCTGGGGCCTCTTGAAGGGCCTCCTTGGGGCCTCCTGGCGGCCTCTTGGGGCGGAAGGCTCGAGCTTGCGGTTCGTGGTCCCCCTCTGGGCCCCCTCTTGCCCACACAGACACACACAGGAACGCCTTCCCCCTCGGAGGGGGAGGCGAGTGGAGAGGGGAAGGGAGTAGAGCTGGAGAGGGGAAGGGGCAGGAGAGGCGAGGGAGAAGAGGCGAGGGAGGAGAGGGGAGAGGCGAGGAGGATAATCCAGGCCCCCTGCTGATCAGCGCCCGGGCGCCGCGCGCGAGCTCGGCGCTTGAGCCCCGATCGCGCGCCGCGCGCTTCGCCGTGCGAAGAACTCTTGGGACGCGAAGTCGAAGCCAATCTGGCGCCAATCTGGCGGCCCCAATCTGGCAAAAGTTGGCAATCTGGCGAGGGAGCCAGCGAGGTTACAGACTGGCGAGCAAGTAAAAACCTCGTACCTGGTCACGCCAGAGTGTCCCCTGGAGCCTTGGACTGTCGTGTAGAAGGGCGAGACACTGAAATCTTGGGACGCGAAGTCGAAGCCAATCTGGCGCCAATCTGGCGGCCCCAATCTGTCGAGGAGAAGGGCGAGACACTGGAAACGCAAAGTCGTCTCAAAATCGACCCCGGGACTCCGAACGCTCCAACGTTTCGGACTGCGCCCAGCCCCTGCGACGAGGGGCCCTAGACCAAAGTGCCCCCAGGACTCCCCGGGAAATTTCGGCGGCGTCCACAGCACCCCTCCTCCTCCTCCTTTTCCTGCTCCTCCTCTTCCTCCTCCTCCCTCTCCTCCTCCTCCTCCTCCTCCTCCTCCTCCTCCTCCTCCTCCTCCTCCTTCTCCTCCTCCTCCTCCTCGTCTTCCTCCTCATCCTCGTCCTTTCCCGAGCCATACAATAACAACTTGCGTGGAATCCCTCTCGGGCCCATCTTGGGGCTCTCTTGGGCCGCCTGTGGAGCCTCTTGTGATTTTGTGGGGGGCCTCGTCCCGTCGCTCGCTGGGAGTTTGACGTAGCTTCTCGGGAGCCTCTGAACCTGTCGGGGGCTTCCTGGAAGCAGGTTCGAAGGATTTTGGGGGCCGATTTGGGGCTTCTCGGGGCCTCCTTTGGGCCTCTTGGGGGTCTCCTGGGGCCTCTTGAGGGGCCTCCTTGGGGCCTCCTGGCGGCCTCTTGGGGCGGAAGGCTCGAGCTTGCGGTTCGTGGTCCCCCTCTGGGCCCCCTCTTGGGCCCGTCTTGGGGCCCTCTTGGGCCATCTTGGGCGCCTCTTGGGCCGTCTTGGGGCCCTCTTGGGCTGTCCTGGGGCCCTCTTGGAAGCTTCTTGGGCCGTCTTGGGGCGGTCTTGGGCGCCTCTTGGGCCGTCCTGTAACGTCGGAAAGCCCAAAAGACAACTTTGTTGGAAATGTACGTTTTACGAAGGGAATGGGCCAATTCTTGCGTCTAGGGGCCCTCTTGGGACGCATGTTGGAGGCTTCTTGGGGCCTCTTGGGGGCGTCCTTGGACGTCTGGGGTCTCCTGGGGCCTCTTGAGGGGCCTCCTGGGGGCCTCCTGGCGGCCTCTTGGGGCGGAAGGCTCGAGCTTGCGGTTCGTGGTCCCCCTCTGGGCCCCCTCTTGGGCCCGTCTTGGGGCCCTCTTGGGCCATCTTGGGCGCCTCTTGGGCCGTCTTGGGGCCCTCTTGGGCTGTCCTGGGGCCCTCTGGGAAGCTTCTTGGGCCGTCTTGGGGCGGTCTTGGGCGCCTCTTGGGCCGTCCTGTAACGTCGGAAAGCCCAAAAGGCAACTTTGTTGAAAATGTACGTTTTACGAAGGGAATGGGCCAATTTTTGCGTCTAGGGGCCCTCTTGGGACGCATGTTGGAGGCTTCTTGGAGCCTCTTGGGGGCGTCCTTGGACGTCTGGGGTCTCCTGGGGCCTCTTGAGGGGCCTCCTGGGGGCCTCCTGGCGGCCTCTTGGGGCGGAAGGCTCGAGCTTGCGGTTCGTGGTCCCCCTCTGGGCCCCCTCTTGGGCCCGTCTTGGGGCCCTCTTGGGCCATCTTGGGCGCCTCTTGGGCCGTCTTGGGGCCCTCTTGGGCTGTCCTGGGGCCCTCTTGGAAGCTTCTTGGGCCGTCTTGGGGCGGTCTTGGGCGCCTCTTGGGCCGTCCTGTAACGTCGGAAAGCCCAAAAGACAACTTTGTTGAAAATGTACGTTTTACGAAGGGAATGGGCCAATTCTTGCGTCTAGGGGCCCTCTTGGGACGCATGTTGGAGGCTTCTTGGGGCCTCTTGGGGGCGTCCTTGGACGTCTGGAGGCCATCTTCAGCATCTCGGAGCCCTCTTGGAGGCCTCTTGGAAGTTTCTTGGGCCGTCTTGGGCGCTTCTTGGGCCGTCTTGTCTGACTGGGGAGGCCTCCGGCAAGCCCCGACGAGCCTCCGGGCCCCCCGGGGCGCACATTTGTGGTCGAGGTCCCGGCCCCGGGCCCCCGGTGCGCCGTTATATGTATATATATATATATATATATATTATATATATATAATATATATATATAATCGAGGCAGAATCGAACTAACACAGATCGAAGACGAGTGCAGCATCGAGACAGAATCGAACCAACACAGGTCGGAAAGCTATGGGAATCGGCCGGTCTGGAAGAGATGCAACGGGCGCAGCGGCCGCTCCCGGGAGCCGGGGCGCTCGTGGACGCTCTGCGAGAGCCTCCCGAAGCCCTCGGGAACGGCCGTATCTCGAGTCTGGGCCTGCCAGAGTGTCCTCCCTCTGCTCCTGTCCCCTGAGGACAGCACAACCCACCCCCAGCCCCACCTAGGGCAGGGCACCCACCTCCGACCTGGTGATCCAGGGTGCCCTGGGTGGGGGTGGGGGTGGGTGTTTGGGCCCCGCGGCTCTTACAACCCACCCCCACCCCCACCCAGGGCACCATGGATCACCAGGTCGGAGGTGGGTGCCCTGGGTGGGGGTGGGGGTGGGTTGTGCAGTCCTCATCCCCGGCCATCTGCCCCCCCCACTCATCCTCGCCCTCTGCTGTTCCGCCTCTCGCCCCCCACCTACACAGTACGAGTGCTCCTCTCCTCTCTCCCCTGACTCTGTCCGGAAACTGCTCAGCCCTCTCCGCCTACTGCTTTTATTTGTCACACACACACAAACACAAACACAAACACAAACACAAACACACACACACACACACACACACACACACAAACACTCATATACACACACACACGCGCGCGCGCACACCGGGCTTCAGAAAGTGCTGGTCCCCCTGATGTTTTCGCCACGTCCAACTGTTTAATGAGTTTCAAAACGGTGTTATCGCTGCAATGTGAGCCTCGTTTTCGGATCGGCGCATTGCCCCCGTCGGTCAGAGCCAGCGTGGGCAACTTTTCTGGATCCGAGTCCTTTTTCATCGCTGTTGCCCCCCTCATGTCCCCTCCTCCTTGCCCCGGGACCTCCTGCTCCTCCCGCGCCTCTCACTCCACTTCCTGCTGCTGCTGCTGTTCGTCCTTGTCCTCCTTCCTCCTCGTCCTTATTCCTCATACTTTTCCTCCTCCTTCCGCGTCCTGCTCACACGCCACCTCCTCCTCTCCTCCGCCTCCGCCTCCGCCTCCGCCTCCGCCTCCGCCTCCGCCTCCGCCGCCTCCTCCTCCTCCTCCTCCTCCTCCTCCTCCTCCTTGCATGTACGCAGCTCCCCGTCTCCGATTGGGCGTGTCACGATGGGGCTGTTTGGAGAGTTCTAAGTCGGCTACGGCACGAGTTCCAAAATCAGCGAAATGGGAAGGGACGGGAGGAAGGGACAGGATGTCAGGTATGGCGCGAGCGCACCTAGCTTTGCTCCCCCTCGCCCCCCCCCCCCCCCAGTAACCTCAACCCCCCAGCCCCCAAAACACTTCCCCAAACCCTCTTCCCCTTCACCCTCCCCTCCTGCGTTCGTTTTCTCAACCCCGCCTATCATCCTTCCCTCTTTCCGCCCTGACCATCGGTCCATCCTCCCTCCCCCCTCCCCAGTACCAAGAGGGGGCCACATGCGAACCCTCCCCCACCCTCCCCCTCAGAAGTCGTGGGGGGTAGGGGTAGGGGTCGCATGTGGCCCCCTATCCAAACCATATCCCATCCTTCCTTCGCCACTCCCACCTCCCACCCGAGGCCAAGGCCCAGGAACGCCCCGAGACCCAGCAACCCCCATGCCATACAACCTTTCCCTCCTTCCCTGTCGTCGTTGCCTCCCCCTCCCCCGCTTTCCCCCCAAATTTCCCCCGCACTCCCTCCCCAAGCCCCCTCAGGCCATGGGCCCCCTCCCAGCGGTGATCCTGGCCGTACAGCTCCTTCAACTCGGGGCAATCCACGAAGGCGGAGCCATTCGCCAGTACACGGCTCACCTGAACGGAGGAGGGCGGGGACGAGGAGGAGGAGGAGGAGGAGAAGGAGGAGGAGGAACACCAGCAACAGCAGCAGGAGCATGATGATCAGGAGGAGGAGGAGGAGGAGGAGAAGGAGGAGGAGGAGGAGGAGGAGAAGAAGGAGAATAACAGTAATAAACAGTAGGAGGAGGAGGGGGGAGGAGGAGGAGGAGGAGGCGGAGGAGGGGAGGATCAGGAGGACGAGGAGGCGGACGGGGAGGACGACAGGCGGATGAAAGCGCGCGCGTGGGAGGGGGGGGCGGATCGGGGCCCCGCTGGTCACCCGCCCTGTATGCTCGCCGAACTCCGCCTCCTTGCCGGGGGCCAGATCCGCCGGAGCTCCCGGTGAGGTCTCGGGCGCGGGCCTCTCTCCTCCTCCTCCTCCTCCTCCTCCTCTTCCTCCTCCTCCTCCTCCTGATTGCCCTCCTCCTCCTCCTCCTCCTCCTCCTCCTCCTCCTCCTCCTCCTCCTCCTCCTCCTCCTCCTCCCCCGCGACCTCCTGCGATTGGAATACCAGTTACCACCCGTACAGCAAGGAGCTGCAGCAACACGTCAACGAAAGAGAACTGGAGCAGACACTCCACGAGCTGACTCCACGCCGCTGCACGCGGCAGGCGCGGCGGAAGCGGAGCAGCGAGGAGCTTCGACACAGCGAAGCTCCTTGCTCGAGTAGCATGAGCGATCTGGCAGCATCCTCACCGCGGGGCCCTCTGTGGCAGCCCGCCACGACAGAGAAGAAGACGGCCCCACGACTGCCCTCCCTGCGCCCCCCCTTTCCCCCTCCAGCCCTCCACCTCACCTGCTTCCTACCTCCTGCCTCCCTTTGGCAGCGCGCACAAGGGGTGGAGGGAGGGGGGAGGACTTCTTACAAGGAGGCTGCGCGCCTTCCAAGAAGCAGGGGTGCCTCTACGAAGTCCTCCCCCCCCTCCCTCGTCGTCGTCCTCCTCCCTCCCTCGTCGCCATCCTCCCCTCCCTCCCTCCCTCGTCGTCGTCGTCCTCCCTCCCTCGTCGTCGCCCTCCCCTCCCCCCCTCTGCGCGTGGCTGATCCCTCCCTCCCTCGTCGTCGCCCTCCTCCTCCTCGGGAGGCATCCCACCGGGAGGCAGGAGCGCAGAGCACAGGGCAGGCGTGGACCAGAGTGCCACCCGCAGGCGGCAAGCCTTCAGTCGGGCCCGCCCCTCTATACAGGGGGAACATTCAACAAAAATAGTCCAAACGTAGTCTGGGGACGATGTTTCGCGTGTGGCTTA